CAAACTATTCGACTGATTAAGGTTAGTCCTTGCACTAGTATTTTCGACTGATTAGGGTTAGTCTGCCACCCATCCAAGAGATTAGGGTTAGTCCTCGCACATAATTCGACTGATTAGGGTTAGTTTAACATCTGCCCATGAGATTTCATCTGAACATCTTAGTCCTTGCATACCATCCGATGGATTATGGTAACAGTGACTTGTTCTTTTAGATAAGTTAAGAAATTCAGTTCTTTCTGAAATTTTTCAAGATCATAATTCAGCTCTACAAAGGCATTTCGTACGTTTGTTTACATGGAAGAATGGCAAAGTCTGAAAGAAATGACACAAAGCATGCGCCACACACGCTTTGTTCAGATTTATTCTTTGTCGATTTTTTCCATGAATATAAACAATATTTCTTAATTTTTTTCAGAGAACAGGGTTAAAAACGAAGTGTTAATCTAAACTTTTAACTGTAGAAATCGATTTTGGGGTCAAAAGGCAATAAAACCTCGTATTTAAAATTTTTTTGGGGACAACTGCACTTTACCGGTACGTCCAAATAACATGGAAATAGCACGTGTTCCCTCTCTATAAGAGAGTCACGCGTCAGCGTGATGATTTCGTTAAAACGGCAATAAAATGCAAAAATAACCTGTTTTTTGAATTCCTCGTCATTTTTCATGTTAATAAACTTCGTTTAATTAACGAAGTTATTAATTTCAAAACAAACCTTTGGCTTTCAATTTGTCGGCCACATTCCAAAGTCGTGACGTTGTTAAGCACGTGACTTATTTCAGTGCTGTGATTGGTCAGGGTAGGTGACGTGAAATAGAAAGTTTGACTTCCACTCTATTTGATTGTAAACAGTGATTCATCATGCACGTTATTTAAGATGATTTGTGTTGTGTTTTCTATGAATGGATATTTTTAATTGACTGACTGCAACATACTAGAATTTTTGGAAATTTTAGCGATAAATGTGATCCTTAGTTTATGGAAATGTTGAATAAGTGGAGGGGCAAAACTTTAAACATGCAGTGAGGATTTTTTTCAGAAACAGCAATCGGCAGTATAAGAAAAATGAAACGTAAGAGTCACATCTTAGATTTCTGGAAACAGAGCTGCAGTAAATCCTGGATTTACGAACTAAAATTTATCTTTTTCAATTTGCAAAACACTGGATACTTTACAATCATTGAGACCACATGGAATGCAGTTATATAGGAAATCTCTACTAAAACAAGAATGCACTAGGATAGTAGCTATAATTTAAAATTGACGTTTATCTCCTTCATCACCCATAAAAACGTATTTACAACTCATCAAAAAAAAGACACAATGGTTCTACATGTATCTGTGTATAGTGACACGTAGGTGTGGCCCCGAGTTAGATTTATCTAACGACTAAGGTAAGTTTGTTTTATTTATTTTTACGCACACCCCCGCTTAAAAAAGCGAAACCCCATTTATACATCTTTTTTCTCGCTTCGAGAGTTTCTTACACGACAAAATGGCGTCGCCAATCATAGTTGATACGTTGCTAAGTTTTTACGCCGCGCACTCTCACGCGCGGATCTAGAATCAAAATGTAGCAATAGCAAAATGTGTATTCTACATCTAGAACGCGTCTGTAGAGAAAGGAGTATGTCTCAGCATTCAGCTACTTGAGACTAGGCAGAACAGAATGCATGCATAATTTTTCATTTATTTTAGCAATGATGTATGAGAAGCAGATAACTTATTTGAAGTTAGATATTCCGAAATTCGCTGTCAATGTCAGTTTTAGATTCTGAACATGTTGAAACATGTCTACTCACTTTAAAACCCATTTCCCCCTTGATATCATTATTTAAAAACTGAACATTTGGCATATGCTGATAAATATTTACCTGATAATCGTATGGTAGAATTAAAATGTTCTAAAAAGCTTTTAAACAGCAATTTTTTCTCACAGTCTGAGTCTTAGCGGTGATCCACCACCATGTTTTGTAAACAATATTCAATTTCGTACAAGTTTTGTTATCATCGATTTCATTGGCTGAAGAATTGACAATAGTATTTAGAGTGATTTCCAAAAGATAAGAAATATCCGGATTGTTGATAGCAAGCTGTAATCACAGGCTGTTATATGATTGGTCAGAGTGATAAATATACCCCCTCTATATATAAATACACGTGTATTTATATGTAGAGGGAGTATATAGTGTATATCACTGATCAATCATAATTATAGCAGGCACGTAGTATCCCGGGGGGGGGGGGGGGGCTGTACAATTACCTTTACTATAGAAAATGTATTGTCTTCCAACAAATTTTTATTAAAATAGAAAATTTGGTGTTATGACACCAAATTTTCTATTTTAATAAAAATTTGTGGGAAGACAGGCCCCCCCCCCCCCACACATTTCAGCACGGTGTAGTGTTATAAAGAAAATTTACCCCAAAAAGTTTGAATTGAAAGATAGTTGGTTTTGAAAAAAGTTAGCCCCCCCCCCCCCCCCCCCCCCCCCCCCCACGAAATATATATTTTAATATTTGTTTTTTGGGCTTTTTTTTGTTTTTTTTTTTTGCTTGTCAACTTTTTCATAAGAAAAAAAATTTTCTCAGACTTTCAAAAACGATGCTACGTGCCTGTATAGCGGCTTATTGATAGAAATTTTCCTGGCATGTAAAATATCAAAATCGTGAAAAAGCCAGGAAACGTCAGATTTTTCGGACTAAGGCCTGTGCTGTAATCAAATGCAGGCACACAGCAACGATTTTCAAAAGTTGAAAAAAAAATAACTGACCAAAAAGTTGGGGGCGAACGTCCTTTTAAAAAATCTGACAAGCGTAGAATAAACCCTAAGCGGACAAAATAAAAGGAGGGGGCAAAACTATCCAAATCCTGTGCTCGATCTTACAGCAATAAAAATGGGGGGGGGGAGGGGGTACTATAAAAACAACTATATTAAAAATATGAGACCCCACACCCCCAAACACACCCCATCCCCCCTAAGTTTAATGGGCCTGAAGTTCACCACCCTTCCAAACCATTCTCATTTTGAAACAAATCCAGTTATTAATACATTAAAAGTTTTTAAACAGAAAATATGTACGTTACTTCCAACATGCAAAAGAATCCATCAATTGGTTCTATGCAAACGTGGCTTTGGTCGGCAAGCAGAAATTCCTTGACAAGGGTTAAAAAAAGTCAGCACAGGTAATTATTGAGGGAGAAACGTCATCCACAAAGTCTGTATATTTTTTTTTTTCATATCATACATAATATCGACACGATGCCGGAGAGCGCGCTCTTCTGCATTGCAGTTCCTGTGGTCTTGTTTTTTTTTGGGGGGGGGTGTTACACTACCGTATTCCAACTTTAATTCATGTGGGGGAAAAAATCGCGAGATTAGGAGAGCCTCGTCATTATATATAAGCGAATATTTTTCGCAGCGACAAATCTCTGTGTCTGTTAACAAGAGATAAAGCAAGAGGCCCATGGACCACATTGCTCACCGGAGTAATTGGTGATGCAGTTATTTACCAGATTTCCTCTCTTGTTATACCTATTGTGCTACCTACCCCCTCCTCGATCCCGTCATGATTGTACACTACCCCATGATGTTTTCAATTAAGTGTCAGCTTTTCTGTCCCAATGGTTCTTGAGAAGAAGATTTTTCAAGATGTTTCCAATATCTTTCAGTGTAAAACTTTGATTCCCTCTTGTGACCAGCCTAATCATCGGGGGTCATTATTTTTACAATTGAAAATCTGCACGAAAATTAATCGTTGCAAATAAGTTAACCCAATTAAGGCAAATCGCAAAATAAACTTGTTGCAAATGATAGTACTGTATCTCTTCTAAACAATGACTGCAAAATTCCCCAATTTTCAAAAGAATCTCTGTAATGCCGGTAGAGGTTCCGTAAGGTAGGATGTGTTCACATTGGACGATAAGATATTTGAAATTCGTCTTCTCAAGAATAGCGAGGCCATGGTTAGTCATATTTTAAAATAAGCATCCTCATTCAGGAGAGATTTAAGTAATTAGATGTTTATTTCAGTTTTTTTTTATTGCTTAATAATCATAACAGAAAATTACTAAAGATAATCTGATTAATCAATAACATTAACTAATCAACTATATATCTATAAAATTTGCGCAATGCATTTTTGATTAAGCCAGAGACATGCACATATGTACATATGTCACTCACATACAAGTTCATAGCCATACACACTGTGCATGCATAATATAAGTGACCGTGCATAATATTAGAATGTGCAGGATATAATGATAGCAATGCCTTTTCCATATAGGATTTTAAGGCAAAAACACAAAGGATTTATTATTGTATTTGTAAATTGTATGCAAAATAATATGGAAAGTAAACAGCAAACCAAAAAAAAATAAATAAATAAAATAGACATGTGCAATACTGAATTTATTTATGTAGCTTGCAAGGGTATAAGGTATTCGTGTAGCAGGGAATAATTCCTAATGGAGATATGTCATGTTGAAATTTTTAATTTACTTCGTGATGATAAATGTATAAATATTATCATGATAGACACAGAAATAAGATTGATAGGAGGTCCAGGGTTGTATATATACGTTCCATCAATCTATTCTTTTAGTTTCTTAAAAGCAATACGAATATCAGTTCTTGTTTGAACCCTTCGTAGTATTTTTTTTTTTACATCTAATCCTGAAAAAAAAGATAAGTTTTAAAACTACTTTTAGTATTTTTTTAAACAGGAAAAATCAATTTCGAAGCTCTTGCTGATAATTATACATTTAAATAAATTTATATTGTCGTTCTGTGCATCTGCTTTTTTATATACATGTATCATGTGCATAATTTACATTAGTTCCACAAAAGAGAAACTTTTTTTTATGATGAAATAAAAATATAATGGTTAGTTTTATTCCTATAAGATGATCATAAAAAGAATAAAGTGTAAATGAACATATAATTAATTTCAAATAAAATTCTCAATTCCCTTTTCTTTGAATCGTAGCTTAAACAATTTTAAAATTATTTTAGTGACGAACTTTTCGCTCCTCAAAATATAATATACTGGTTCAAGGTCCGAAATTGTAAATATTTAGTCCGCAAAAGGGGGCATATTTCATTTCGCTTTGCAGTAGATCTTGAAAAATGACCAAGGCTTCGTCACTAATTTTCTCTATATAAGTCGTTCACGGTGTCTTGACCACAGGGCCACGTCACGCGCCGCAACACCGAAAAGTATCGGCTAACACGGGTTTTATTGGGCATAAACAATCATTAACATAACCGATATTTTGCGATCAATCATTGCAAGAATGAACAGCGCATTCGTTGCAGGATAGAGGGCTTTTTGGTGGTCAACGTTGCAAAAAAGCATCTCCAAAAACGGTCATGATGAAATTTCTGATTCCCGGATTTTCTTCGGATTAGTCCGGAAAGTAGCAGACTTTTCCAGTGCCAAATTAGATGCATCAGTGTTGAAATTCCGTAGTTTAGAATTTAAATTATTTCTTTTTTTCCATGTGGAAGTATTTTTCTTTTACAACAAATGGCCAGTGATTGTGGAGTCGTCATTCCTTGTTCCAAAAATTCCCGTGTTAAAATTCTTGTTTATTTAGCATTTTTCGTGTTAACGATTCTTTGTATGACAAAAACTGTACAAGGAAATCATGTTCCGCAGCCAGTTCCGGGAACCAATGCAAACAGAGGACGAATTATTAGACCGGATGCTCTCTCAGCATCCCAGCGCAGGCGTGGTTCGCAGCAACAGCAGCAGACAGTGTCACGTGGTACAAATTCAAATTCAAACATTAGAAATGGCAGGAGGTTTTCGATGCAAAATGCAAGAGCTTCCACTCAAAAAAGGAACCCCACTTCCCGTCGAACTGAACGACTGAGTACAACTAATTCAAGATCCAGAGGGGTAGGTTATAAAAAAAAAAATAATCAAATATAATTTTTTATAACCCCTTTCATGTAATTTTCATACATGATTGAAATTCCTCCTTTATTGCAAAAGCATGTCTTGTTTCATTATATCTTTGTTTCATAGAGTTTAAAACCATCAAATTTTATTTAACTACTAGTAATATATTTCAATGTGCATGCATTTTATTTCTCGTGATAGTTTTATTCAGTTGTCACATGTTCAAACTTGCATTGAAAAAAATAGAGACTTTTTTCAAAGTTTACTTGGTACATTAATCCAAAAATAAAACAAAATGTAAGCCCCAAAACAGACACAGATATTAAAGAAAACTAAGAATACAGAGATATACTTAATTTATCTATTTGACTTTGTTTATGACAAATCCTTTTTCTAATCTGAGGAAAGTTTTATGCTTTCCCCAATAAAGACGTCAGCTTAAGTGTCCATCAGCTTCGTGGCTGGGACGTTTATCTGCTAGTCTAAAAGATGGTAATAGTGTGAACTTGTCTAAGGAAGGCAGGTCAAAATTCCATATTCAGATGATAAATTGACGAAAATGGAGCAATTTTGTTGACTTCATTAACCCTTTCTGGAGGTCAAAATATACATGTATTTATATTTGTACTTATTTTCAAATCAAAAAAGAGATTTCACATTCTATCAAAGAAAGCTGAAAAAATGGTTGATATAAGCTTAAGGATACCTTTGATCTAAACTGAAAATAATATAATGGGGACATGCGTAAAAAAAATCAAAATAATCAAAATTGGTCTTCATTGTTATAAAAAGATCTTTCTTTTTGTTATTTCCGTTGTTCTTTTGTGCTCACAATGCAAACTTGCAATGTGTCGATCAGCGCGATATAAGTAATTTACATGTATATAGTAATACGTCATAGCATGCAACAAGGTGTTAAAACACATGCTCGTGTAGCGTACATAATAATTCATCAATATTACCCAGGTCTAGAATTACAGGTTTAGTCAAAATTAGTAAAATGTAGAAAAAAAGGGCCGCGCGTAAAAGAACGATGGGGCCAAGTTTTTCCGTTATTTATAAAGATGACCACAAAATTCGCGAAGATTATCTTTTATTCAGATTATATCATTACTTTATTCATGTATTAGTTCCTTGGGTCGTATAGAACGACGCTAGGTGGCGTTTTTATGTCTTTTATATTGATTGTGCATGGCCCATAGATGTTTGTATTGCATATATTATGTCATGAACATAAACGTGTGGCGAAGAGAAATAAGCAAAGTGTGTATTCATGATAATCATGATAAGGCAAATCTCGAAACTAAAATATGATTCTGGTCAAAAACACTTATCCGCCTTAAAGGGACACAGACAGAGTTTCAGCTAAAAATTTTCAAATATATTTTTCCAATTTTTTTTGTATGTTTTCAAAACTGTGACTAAGCTATTTTTAATGATTTTCAAAATTATGAATTTCTGTTGTCGTGGTACAAGACAGATTTTGAACTGCAAACCTTTGTTATGTAAACAGTTTTTGTTTACAAAGGTTAAATATACTAATTAATATATGTCAATTCAAAGCAGATTTTCCAGTAAAAAAGGTAATTCTAAATAATAAAACAATTTCTATTGATTTGCTGAATCTCTTTTTGTTATAAATATAGTTATGCTTCCTTCGTCCTTTACCTCAACATAAACACCCTATATGTGGAAATTGTAATTTACTGATCAAATAAATCTTGATCAACAATCCAAATATGTCATAGAAACAAATCAAAATATCTACCGAAATATTCCTAAAACTATACATGCAATTATACGGTTCACAAAAATAAGCAAACACAAAAGAATTACGTACAAAATGAACTCAGTACATGAAAGCATAAACACTCAAAAATTTACTTTTTCATATGTAATGAACATACCTAAGTTAACAAATGACTTTGAATCTGTCTCGAAAAACAGACAGACATACGCGCAAATTTACACACATAAGTACATATCGATTACCCGCAGACTTACAAAATAACGTATGGGATTTTCTATCTGTAAACAAAAACCAAGCACGAGCCTTGTTTACAATATGAAGAATGATTTTTAGTTTTGTATCTTCTTTTTAAATCAATATTAGACGGTGTTTAAATTTGTGCTGAGTGATCATTTGAAATACCTTAATTAGAAATTGTAATTAAAATTGGTTTTAAAAAATCATTTGAATCTATGTCCAACTACTTTTCCCGCTTCTTTCCCAAACTTACCTTAAGGAGATATAAAACAAACTTTCCCGCCCAAATCAGCAACATTTCTTATAGACTAATATTAAATAGGTAACTTGAATATTATTTCCCAGGTGATGTTTGAGATTCGATTTGTAAGATTCTCCTAACCAGTTTAAAATCATATGAAAATTGGAGTTACATTTGTATACAGAAAACCAAGCAAACTCGCACGCATACATGTAAGCACCAGAGATAAACTAAGGATTCTCTATATTTTTAAAGGGTTGATAAATTATGTCACGTACTCAAAATTAGTCTAAAAATATCTATCAATGCATTATCTTTATGCTGGCGTTATGATTTTTTAAAGTAATTAATAGCATAATCCATGATAGGATATAACCTTTATAAAAGTATGTTTTTTAACTTACATGCATTTAGACCATTCCTTTCCAATGTTAATCATTTCATGCTTTATGAAAATGATTTATTTTCAATATTTAATTTCATATTTTTATTGCATGTATTTTAGGATTTAAAATACATTTTTTTTTATATAAAAGAATTATTAAAAATACAAGGAATAAAATATTAAAAAAAAAACATGGGGACTTTTGTCAATCATATGTACTGCTTACATCACCCCCCCCCCCTTTTTTTCAGTGCAATCATTTTTTATTTTATGTGAACTCCTTCATATATGTAAGACAAGAGAATCTTAAGACATGTTTGTCCGATGATATCAATAACAAATATGAATATCCAAATTTATATTAATTATTTACGAATTTTTCAGTCCATTAGATTAATCTAACTATTTTTCTTTTCATATTCTTATTTATTGCTTCGCGGTTTATAAAGCGTAAACTGCCCCAAGTTATGTGTTATATCGTATAACAAAAGTTGAAATAAGATTCATTCCTTATTTAATATATGTTCCTTGCATTCTATGTTAGAACAAGGGACACCGGTAAATATTGATCATATTCACACCTCATTTAACCGTGTCAAAGAGACTTGCACTCTCTACCGGTCAGTAGGATTAATTACTTCCTGTAATTAATTATGCATACTTCTTGTCACAATGTAGGTGAACGATCATACATGTAGCAGGTCACGTTGAGAAAAAAAATGACAAAACTTAATTATGTGTAAAAAAAAAAAAAAAAAAAAAGAAATGAATGAAGCTGTAAACCAGAAAAAGCGAATGAAAAAGCGAATTCATTGTAAGCTTGTAAAATAAAATCTTTATCGATTTTAAATTACTTAATTTGTTAAATATTTTGTTTAAGTACAGCTTTTTTCAGTAGTTTTATTATCAAATTTAAACAAATTTTTAAATTTAATGCATCTGTTCCTTTAAAGTATTAAAAAAAAAGAAATTGTGTATATCAGAATTAAATATAATTAAATGAATTAAAAATTCAATGATAAAAAAGATAACTTTTTTATTGATATATATTTTGAATTTTTGATATTTTTCTAAATTTTGAATTATTTTGCACACAGTACTTCACGTTTTTAGCCGGGCTTATTGCTCAAAGAGCAATTGCCGGCTTATGTGATCCTGTTCAAGGCAGGATGTTAACCCAATAGTCGCCATTTTAAAGTTACTTGCAAATATATAGTTCTTACTCTCAACCGCTTTTGAGATAATACAAACGCTAAATAAAGCAACAAAAATAAAACGAAGTTTTATCTATATAAAATAAACATTTGTAGTAATGACTTTGAAAACTTCATAAGTCAAAGAACATAGTTCATTAGCGTAAGGATTTTTGATCATCAGTGTTACCGTAATTCTCTACACATATGAGGTAAAGCAGGAGAGGGAACCAGACTAGGCCTGTTTGTTTACATTCAGCTGCGGTACCAGATTAATTCTGATTCTGACAAAATCGGACCGTGGTATTAAATTGAAAAACTCACTGTCAGTGTCTTATCATTTATATTGATAGTTTTAAAATAATTTTTTTTCATCAGAATATAAACGTGATTCATGTAAGAAATCCATTCTACTCTGTAAATGAGCCCGGCTCTCTGTACTTCTGAGTACTTTGATTTTTGTATTAGGTTTGTGGTTTGGCTTGACTTGGTGTTATGTCCTCTGTAGAATAGTGCAATATGGCGGTGAAGTCACCACTTGTCAAATGATTAGATATATCGCTTGGTTACGACAGCATGAGTAATGCTGATAATGGCATACACACATTCGTGCATTGCATATCGCGTATACCGTGCATTCCAGTATGTATTTTTTCTTAGCGATTTTGCGGAGAAAATCACATTTGGATTTATATGTCTACAGTATAATGTGTTACTTTGATAAAAATTACAGTGACATGTACTTTTTTATAGATTGGTTTCAAGTAAAGATTGAATATTCAAGTTTACAGATGATAATGAAATTCAATGAAAATCCATGTAAGCTCGAATAATTGAAACTTTAAAGAAACAAATGAAATAAACAAATAAAAAATTATTATTTATAAAATAGTCAAACGAGATGAAACAAAACAAAGATTACCAAAGTAATAGAATTAATGCTAAAAACCTAAAGAAGAAGAAAAAAAGCGAAGAATTCCTTATCTTAAAAAAATTCAAGGGGGCCGTCAAAATGAGGCAAATGAAGTCTACGGGCCTTGTTTAGTTTAATTTTTTTTTCACCAAAATTAAAAAAAAGAACATACATGTTTTTAATGTTAAAATTTAAAAAAAATGCAATTTTCAGTACAAGTGCTTATTTATTCAGTCATGCATACAACGATGATACAATGTCCGAATGTCACTCATGTGAGGAATTACAATAATTAATAAGACAGACATCCGATAGGAAATTAAGTGTCAAAGTATGTGTCCCCTGCTGTTACCTTAATGGACAAAAATTACAAGCGTGTGCTAAGTGCCGCGCATGGAAGCATCGTAAAGTGATACATTGCCTTTTAACAGAGGCCACAGAAGAATTTTTATAAACAAAAAACACTCTTTTTTACCTTTGATTTTATATCTATCAATTATAGCAAACATACTCTTATACGTCAGTTCATTAATCCGTTTTTTTTGTTTTTTTGTTTGTTTGTTTGTTTTTTTTTTTTTTTTTTTTTTTTTGCTCGGAACAGAAGCAATTCGGATTAAAGTTACTTGACCGTACACATTGTTTTTTTTTTCTTTGTGCTTTTATTCTCTCATCAGAGATGATAATCTTTCTGTGTACCTGCCAAATTGTTAGATATTTAAAAGACATGATTTTGAAAATTAGATTGCCAAAATGATGGGAATGAACATTTTGATTTTTGAGACATAATTTTGAAAATTCTAATGCCAAAAAAAAAAAAAATGATGCGAATGAAATTAAAACCATTTCCAGGTTAGTTTAGACTTTCAGTGAGGCGTGGCATTTTCAGCGCTACGTAATTAGCGTCTGTCAAATGGCGAATAGATTCTAAATGGTTAAAAAAATTATAACATCAGGAACTTTAAATTGTTGTTGATTACGATGAGACAAATTAAGCTCCACCTCTTGGCCGAACTAGACAGCGTTATTGGTTATTCGATACACTAATTGGCATTTGCCCGAATTCCTTCCCCATGTATATTCCAACAGTAAATATAAACTGTGTAGATTTCAGAAGCTAATAATGTTACTTGGAAAATGTCACGCCTTACTGTATGTCCAAAATAACTTGGAAATGATTCTATGAAATATACGTCATTAAAGCAACGTAAGTTATAAGCAAATAGCCATAATACATCAACGATAGCACTAAATTGAATAATGTATCCATATCAGCAAACATCGTCATCGTGTGCTTGACTTGATTTGACCAATGGTCAAAACTAACCTCAGCTAACCTCAGAAACAAATGATGTGGTTATCGTAGCACCCTCGAGCGGACAGGGCGGTAGAGGAGAAAACATGTAAAAATAGATCAGTAGGAAATGGTAATCAGTTGGTTTTGCTTCCTTCGGAGTAAGCAATAAAGAATGTTAAGGTGACATGCATTAGTTGCAACATTTCTTGTTCTATGAGTTGCCGGGTCAAATTTGTCATAATATTAGTATTAATGTGATCACAGACGGAATTTGAAATTAGGTGACTTGCACGTTGCTGGAATAATCAGGTCGACATTGAAGTCAGGATGCTTGGTCGGTTATATAGTACATAAATCGAGGTTGCCAAGTCGTGTGCGTTGACTCAAAGATCTGTATAGTATATATATACATTTGTAACCACCCCCTTTAAAAACAAAGAAACTAAACAAATTAAAGCCAAAAAACCCTAAAACAAACAAACAAACAAAACATAACAAAAAGAAAAAAAAGTTGAGTAAAACTTGACTTTAGATCAATAATTTCATTAAACATGGTAGTCGCTGAAGTCTTTCAAAATTTCATTTGCTTATTCATTAAAAAATTTAACAGAGTACAAACTAATTCAATTGAATTTAAGTCATTTATGTCAAAATCTGGGAGCTTTACATTATTTTCTAAACAAAGTTAACAAGATATTGACAAAAAACAACAAGGTACTAGTTATCTCACAGTTTTTGCAATTTGTATTGCAAAACAAATAATTTATTTATACCTTTACAGATTCAAAGAACAGGCAATTCCAGGTTACCTTCCCGACAGGGCAGACGAAGGCTTAATGTCCGGAGAATTAGCAACCAAGTTTCCAGTAGAGGGCGTCTACAATCTGGAAGTGACCCAAATGGACGGGTACAACCTATGCCGAACGCTGATGCGAATCGACAACTCAACGACCGAGGAAATACTGATTTGTTTCCATCCTCAATAAATCAATTTATTAACAGACTTCGAGAGAGAATTCCAAACATAGGACTCGGGCTCGGTGTTCACATCCAAGACCCGGAAGGTACATCGAGGTCCGGAAGTGCAAATTCTGGATCAGCTTCAGGGATGGGCTCAGTTAGGAATGTAATTGGCTCGTTGGGTGGCTTATTTAACAGAGGACGTAATTCTGCACCATCTATTCCAACCTCACAATCCTCGTCCCATTCTCGCTCATCAAGTGGAGGAGACTTTTCTTTGGGTTCAAATGTCAGAGGTCAAGTTTCAATCACTGACCCGCCTGTCAATGTTCCTTGGCAACGGCCATCACCCCCATCAAGTTCTCAACAATCGCAAATTCTCGTATCAAATCAGTCACCTGTACAAGGATCAGCAGTCCCAGTCGTTCAAGACAATCGTCGTCTGTTAAATTCTGGCTTCATACACGGACAACCAGTTAACATTCAAGGTCAGGGATCGCCACCATTATCCCTGAACACTAATTTACAACAACAACATTCCCCAAATGTTGTCAACCCTATTTCTCAGCCCGTTATGCAACAACAGAATAATGTTCAACAACCTACCTTTGGATTCCCGCAACGGCCGATAGTTAATCAACAACAAATACCACCAACATTTTCACTTTCTCTTCAACAGCAGCAGCGACAACTCCAACACCAACAAATAACGAGAAATCAAAATACATTTAATCTCCAAGGGCAAGTACAACCTCAACAAGTAGCCAGTATAATGCAGCCCGTGCAGCAACCTCTGATGCAATCTTTGCCACAACAATCAAGACCTGTATCTTTATTCGGGCAGGCACCGCAAACCATTCAAAACGTCCAGCAACAACCATTCCAACTTAGAGGCAGACAAAATGTTTTCATGCAGCAGCAATCACAACCAACGTCAGGCTCTGGATTTCAACAAATGCAAATGCCAATTCTCCAAAATCAACAAAGCATTGGAGTTGGAATGCCAGTTTTACCTACCCCTGCGCCAATTATGTCACAGGCAATACAAACAAACGGTCAAACCATTATTAATGGTGCTGGAAATATATTCCAAGCACCGGCAGTACAAACGTCTTTCAATGCTCAGCCCTCTCTAACACCAATGTTAACAGGTCAACAAAATGTTGGTGTTCAAGGTCAATTTGTTAATGTTCAGGGACAGATACTTCAATTACAGCCTGCAAGTCAAAATACGTATCAAATTGTTAATGGCCAGTTAGTTCCCGTTCAGCAAACTTTTCAGCTTGTTCCAACTGGTCAGACAATGGCTCCACGACAGCAACCTGCACAAATGCCCATCCAACCTGGATCTATACAGATGGCGGCCTTTGAAACAAATACAGCAAGTGGCGTCAGAAAGACTCAAAATCTTCAAGCCCCCACTAAAGTTCCATTCTCTTTCGGACTCTTTTCAAGCTCAAGCAGTAAAAACGCAAAAATATCAAACTTAACGTCTCAAGCCAAACAATTAGTGGAACAAAATGCTCAGATTGAGCTACAAAATCAACTTCTGCAACAAATGTTGATAGAGCAAGTGTTGAATGGTCAGGGACTTAACTCGACGGGATTTTCACCAAAATCTTCCAACTCTTCTACATCTTCAGCTGCCAACACTGTATCCAACAAAGCGAAAGTGCAGCCTGCTGCTGTGGCTTTTAATTGGCGTGAAGGAACTGCTGTCACTCCTTCGAACTCAGGAATAAGACGCGTCATGCATGGACAGGAAAATCCAGGTGGTGTTAAGGTCATCAGTCTTAGAGCAGCGAACACAATTAGTCCATTTAACAGAACTAAAGGAGGGATCACCTTAGCGCCGCCTATGAGTCATGGCATAAAATCACCGACTGTAAATGCAGCAAAACCGACTTTTGATCCAGAAGTTCTTCCTCAATATCGAAATTCCACAAACGACACTTTGCGAAGCATGGATCGTACCGACAGGCTTAATACTACGGATATTCCTGAAGAGATTGAAGTAAATGGAATGTCCCTGGATAGTCCGGCGGATCGAAACGGAGTGGGTACTCCTCATCCACTTGATAGTTATGTCCATGGCGTTCATGGCCATAACAATATGGGAACTCGTCCTGTAACTCCCGCAACTGTCTACGGAACCCGAAAGAGTGAAAAATTAAGTAAACTTGGCCGATCAGACCGAGTAAATACAACGGATGTGCCAGAAGAAATAGAAGTGAATGGACAGTCTTTGGATAGTCCAGCGGATCGAAACGGTATGAATATATACCACCCGATGGATTATCTTGTACATGGAGTTACACCTGGTCCTAATCAAAGAGTTCATGCAATTCACCAGAATGCCCATATGGGACAACCAGCTCCACCCGAGGAGCCGGAAGAGAGAATATACTCAGCATCTGACCCTGGTTATATTGATACCACGATTGGTTTTGGTACCAATGTAATGGACTTGAAGCATTTCCGCGATCCAACGTTATTTGAAGCTGTTTCGCACCAAGCATACGAGTTAATGAACCTTCTACAATTTTCACTTTCACGAATTCCATCAAAAGTTCTACATGGAGTCCAATACTGGATGCCTAATATTCCTTATAATGTGTTCCGTTCCATTAAAAACTCTGCACCTTCGTTCTATCAAGGTTTTAAGGAAACTGTTGGTAGTATACCTACTTCAGTTGTACGTGGTATTTTAAATCTCGTTGATATCATCAGGTTTTCGTCCGCCAAAACAAATAAACCTGTGAAAAACGTTGCAGCGAAAATTGCCCAAGTTTTACATGATTCTTTTACGTCACCGAAGCCTCCAACTACCCCGAATCTCTATGATTTCCGAATTTTTGATATGATTCAGCTGACCACTACCCAAGCGCTACCGGCAACTACAGACTCTCCAGTGCGGCATTCTGCAAAAACATTAGCAAAGCTCATGAATTTGGTAAAGCTTCTTATTCACGAACCATCCACCACTACAACAACGACTAACGCCCCACCTTCTACAATGGCTACAGAAGCTTTGAACGTTATCAAAACCAATGGTACACAAACCGTGAAGCAAAATACGACCTCTGATAAGAGCAAGATAAATACGCAAGTGTCCATAAAAGCTGTTTCCGGACAAGTAGCAAAGAGCAGTAGTGTGTCAGTGTCTGTGGAAAAAGTAACACCAAAGCCGAAATTATCACCAATAACGAAAAACATTATAAGGCGATTACCCCCTACTCCAGCTCCAAGGAGACAGAATGATGCTAAACTAGGTAGACAAAGGCAGCAGCAGAGACCAAAGACAAAGGAAAAACAACAAAGAGTTGAGAAACAATTACAAAATCAGCCACGTTCTCCGAAACCTATACAGAACAGTCCTGAAAAAGCCAGGAGTTATCCTACGATACAGCGCCAAAATAGAATAGAAAACAATAGACAGGTGCAGATAAACTTCTCAAGGCAAAGTCCACCAAAACAAGCACCTCAGCACCAGAAAAAGGTAAAACAATCTTCCACGATAACAACACATGGTGTATTCGAAATACAGAACAAAGTACCTTCATCATCCAAGAAATCAAAATTAGATTTGATGGGAGTCCATGTGAAATCATCGAAACCTAAAATAACCACAGATTTGCCAACGCAATTACCTCCTAAGACAATCCCACCTGTTCATTCCCTGCCTACCCAAGTTCCTCCGGATGTCTACCCCATTGATAGTAACAAAGGGTTCCGACACGAAAGGATAGCAACGCCTCCGGTATATCATCACCAGCCTATTCCAACTCAGCCTTATATGAACAGAAGGCCACAACCTTCACAACGGCAATATCCAACCATGCCTCGCTATCAACAGCCGATCACAACCACTCCACCGAATGTAATGTCATCAGCACCGCCTTCTTTTTATAACCACTATGAACAACCACAACAACAACATCAGCAGCAAATATATCAACAACCGCAGCAACACCAACAACAAATGTATCAACAGCCGCAGCAACAGCCAAATTCCCCTGATTATCTAAACAACTTTTTTGGAGATGGCCCCACACAGCCTTCGCCAACCGAAGCGTTTGGTAATGCTTTTGGATACAATGCGCAGTCGCAGAACTTTGTGCGCGAACCAATCGAAAATACGATACAATATAAGGAATTTAGCAATGCAAATAGAAAAGGCTTTCGTATCTCAGAAGTGTTTGGAAGGAAAAAGTGATTTTAAGGTCATGTGATACATGTAGGGGTATATTATTTTAAGAGAATGAAACGACTTTGAAAATGTGTGACGTCTTTGAATTAATAAAGATAGGAAATGGTATCTGATAATTGCACTGATAAGATGTGTTTGAGACACCTGTCTTTATTAGATGACTAGAGTATCTTTGTCGTTACATTTCTTGAACAAAAGCTTGAACTTTAATGGAAATCAATATAGAAATAAACAAAGTTTGAAAATGTACATATTTGTATCCTTTCTTAAAAAAGATTATAAATAAGAAATTAATTAGGATAAATGGCATTTATCCCATCGGAGAAACTTTAAGATTTTGAATTTGCTATTATCATTTTTGAATTATTATTGATATTGTTGGAAGATTTTTTTATAGAGTTTTATACTAATCTTATGTTATTTACAATTTTAAGGAATTCTGTTAATACTTACGTAGAAATAGTAAGAGCTCTACAAAACTTCCTAATTTATGGCATCATTTTTTTGTGTGAAAATCATATTGAGAAAAATAATATCAATTATTTAAGAGATATTTTTCTTTATCCATATCCTTCTTTGACAAGCCATACTAATTATTTAATGATAAAAAGTTTCTTTATTATAACTTCTGAATGACAACATCAAGAAACTGTGAATTTTTTTGTGCTCTAAGGTGTGCAGTATGAAAGGGAGAGGTACTATTAGCGATATTGAAAGAAATAAGACTGTATGAAGGATTTTGTAAATCAAAAGGGATATTTTTTTTTATAGCTAATGTATATATATATATGCTATAAAGTATTTGTAATTTATTTTCACAATGTACTATATAATAGCTTTATTTTTGAAAAAAAAAATGCACGCTAAGAAGCGGATTATTTTGTTGTTCAGAAATAAATTATTTAAAGCTGGGATATAAACATTATACAAAAGAAAATTTTATGAATTGTTATTATTAATCAACAATTAAACACGAAGAGCTGTTGACTAAAGACTTTCCGATCAAAGATCCTAAGTTTTTCCTAAATATTTTTTTTCTTACAGATGTCCTTATAAGCAATATATTGTATATTTTTTCATACATACGTTGAAATTTTAGCAAAAAAATAAAGAACAAATATTTGCATTGTTTAACAAATTTACAGATATTCTCTATAACTTTGACAATTTTTAATTTTTGATTTGGTTATAGGTTTCAATTCTTTTAAAACATTTTCATCCTTTACTTGGGAATTGAAAATCTGCTCTCAGTATGAAGTTTTTACTAATATTTGTTAAATGACATATGTGTTAAATGAACGAAAGCAATATTAATTAATTTATTTACTTTTTTTTAGGTGGGTGGGTGGGGGCTTCAATATATCGCAAACTATCGTTTTTTTTTCATAAAATAAATTCATTTTTGAAATCAAACAACCCAATTTTGATTAAGATTTATGAATTTATGGATGAATTCTTATTTCATGAACTCTTTGTTTAATTTTCATCAATGTTAAAGAAAAAGTATTGCACCCTCTAACACTAAGCATACGATTCGTTTGAAAGTTCTCTTTGACAACCATTTTTCTTTACCGTTATTTCTACATTAAGTCATTTATAGACATGTGTCCCCAACTGGTACGTGTAAACATGTCCAAGACCTCAGCAGTGGTGACAGATAGCGATACAACTAGTGGTCAGTCGCGACACGAATTCTTAAAACGTCCACTTTTTCTGAGATTTACTATACATTTACATAATTTATATGTCTGCTCCTTTTTTCCCAGCAGGTCAAGCTACCCTTAGTGAGGGAGAGATTGTCGCAATAAATTCGTCAGAGATAAACGTAAATCTTTCTGTGATGTCTTGAATGCCCTTTAAAGCGTTTTACAGTCTTCAAAGTCTTAATTCGCCTCCACGAGATAAATAGTCCATTTAGCTTTTAATTTGTAGCCAATACAACTCGATGTATATTAATGAACTAAATTTGTAGGGAAATCGAAATCCCCTTTTCTTAAAATTGTAAATATAAAATTATATAGTCTCAAATTGTGAGAGGTATATTTAAGATGCATCTATATCAATGATAACCTGAATGTCTGAAAAACATTTTTATATACATGTACTTATTTGTAAAAGGAGCATTTGTAAAGGTAGCATGAAATATCGCATCTAAAAACAATACCTTCAAAACTGTACCCTCAAATGAAAAATACATTTACATCAGACAAATTCTTTTGTATTAAAGTTTGGATAAGAATATTGTAACAACAAATTTACGATATGAGCTTTCTTTTGAATACATACTTAGCTGTCAACAAAATCAACACCTAACAAATTTGCTCTCAGAAGAAAATATGAATGCATAAAGCTTTATAATGCTAAAAAAACGCTTCAACAATATATACATGTAGTTATTTCTGCAAAACACGTGAACATTGAAATATGTCCAATCTATCAATCAAATTAAAACTGTGTCATTAAATAAATGGAAGATAAAGAAAATCCACAGTTTAGAGAGTTCATAAGATAACTAAAAGTCTACTAAAAATTGACATTTCAGTAACCACTCAGGTAATGGGATGGTCTAGATTCATCTAAATATATCATTTAGCTGAAACACATGCATTTTTATATACAAGACCCTTGATTGACTACCGGAGAAAACACGTATAAATATTGATTGATCATAATGGGCCTACTACGTATCGTATTGCGAAATTTAAAGTTTGCTACGAACTAAAAATACTCCTGTAGGATTTTTCGATCTATCTAAGGTTTTATAAATTTACTGGAAATTTTTAATCAGAAAAAATGGATACAGACACTCTTTCGCAGACGTGAGTAATATTCTAGTTTTTCTTAATTTTATGTGAAAATTATCCTTCCTATGATAGCCGCTTTCTTAAAACATGAATCTGTATTTCAATGCTCGTTTTATTTCTGCTTAGCAAAAAGTATTGTTATCACTGTTTATTAAGTACATTTTATTCATTAAAGTTTTTTTTTTTTGGATGATTTTTATTTATTCATGATTTAACTTGAAAAAAAACACAATTTTGTTGTGAAGCTTTTATTAGCTTGTTTTTGAAAGATGAAATTATTTCATTCTAGAAACATTGCTCATATCTCTCCAGAAATAAATTATATATTTAAAAGAAAAACAAATATTGATTTCTTGATTAATATTTAATAGTGCTATGTCATTTCAACTGAAACGAATTACGTAAACAATGGTTTAAAGAATTTTTTAAAGTTTATTCATATGCGACAGAACAATAACAATAGACTGATTTTAAAAACTACAAGAGAAATTTTCCAATTAAAGAAAATGTTTATATTAAATTCTGCTTTATTTTTGCTTTCTAAGTAAATCAAACATATGTAATGAGATCGTAAGATTGATATTCGGACACCATACATGGTAACTCGGTCATATTTATAGAAGATTCAAATTAAAATTAAAAAAAGAAATTATTCATGGGGATATAAATCAATGGAAAAGTGAGACTAATGAAATCCATGAACATTTACACTTCCACAGTAGTCTATATTGAATGAGCGCGTGCATCAGGTCGATGGCAGTATCACAAAAGAAAAGTTAAGAATATCAAATATTCTCGTTAAAGAAAAAAAAACATACTAGTGATTTGATTAACATTAAGCTACAGTAACACTCGTTTAATAGGAACACGGATATGGATTTACTAATTCGTTATACGAATACAACGAAATACGGATGTAGCAAATTACATTCACAAGTCCTCAGAACTTCGCAATAACCGAGTTTTAATGTGTAGGGAACTAACGTTTCTAAACTTTAAGAAATAAATTATTTTTCTATTTTTCTGTTTTCTTAATTGTGCATATATCGAAAGTGTTTGATTTTTTCAGGCTAAATATTTCAAAAGTCCACAAATATTTTTGATTTTTTTTCTACTTATTGTTTAATCCGAAAATAATGTTTTAATAAAGTAAATTTTGGGAGAACATCCATTTTTGAAGACCAAAACACTTTGAAAACTTACAATTCAAAATTTTTTTCTACCAATTTAAACTTAAATGAAAAAAATCAACAATTTTAATGTATTTTCAACTATATTTTTCCTTATTTTACATTTCAAAAGGGACGTCAGTATACAATATATGTCAGAGTCAGTATTTAAGGCACTGTGTCAAATTGTGGGGACTCCGCAACAAGTTGCCATGAGAAGGGATGCTGCAGATTTAAGGGACATGATAGAAAAGTCACCTTTATCGCAAATTCCGACCATTCAAATGGCAACTGGAAGTCGCAGAGAAGGATTCAGATTCACGGGATCAGATACGGACGTTATGGTTTGGCCAAAAAGCGAGAAAGTTATCTAGGACATGAATCAGGGTTTTAATTACGACATAGGTCAACATACATTGATTTTTTCAGACTGCTCTGAAAGCCCACCAGGATACACGCTACTTGTTTGTAAGGAATGTGTGAAAAGAGCATGTATCTTTAGGACTAACAGACATTTCATATCTAGTTCTACACTAAAACGAAAACTGCTCTCCGGAGTAGTACCAGATGATTTTACCGAACATGGACCATGTACTAGAGGTTATATAAACAATATGGAATATGACGTTGCTCATTGCTTTGCGTGTGACATTTGGCCACCATCAGCCTCTCAGTGGATAGCCAGATCTCACGTCTGGCCGGGATATCAATTAGTTAATGAAATAGTGAAAAATGGATGTCACGTCGTACCAATAGGACACAAACAAGGGAATTATGAGTTCGACGAATGGAGAATCTCTTTTTCTCTTGCAGAACAGAAACTTGTGTACTCAATGAATCACTGTAAGTTTTTTACATACGGCTTGCTTAAATTGTTCCTAAAAGAGGTTAAAAACGATGGTATAGGTACTGCGGATAAATTATTGTGCTCATATCACATGAAAACCGCAGTTTTCTGGGTGCTTCAGCAAGACACAATTCAAGAGTGGTGTCCTCAAAATCTGTTAGAGTGTTTCTGGGTCTGCTTTAAGTT